AGAGTTCGGCGCAGAGAGTTATGATCTTCTTATTAGAGGTGCTCAGAACTGCCTGGCAGCAATGAAAGTCTGCCTTGTTCTTCAATTTCGACCAACCAGACTTGAGAATTGGATCTCCACCAAAACATAAAGTTTTTAGAAAACTGAATTAGCTTTCCAAATATTCAAACGGTTTGTCATTCAGAGTTTGGAGCACAAAGTTATAGCCATTTTACCAAAGTAGGTCCGGGCGAAGCAAAGCAAGCATGGAGCAATCTGCTCCAATTTCGAGTGCTCGAGGCCTTGCTTTGAGTGCTCGAAATTCAGGCAGAATTGCCTTCGGGAATTCTCAGTTTGGCAGCCACTTGTGCATTGGTTTCCTCATTTCTACTTACTTCTTTATGAGGTGGTTGGGGATGTTTTTTGGAAAGGAGAGAGAGGCCTTACCTATACAAAAGAAGAGAAGGGAGGCCACACATTATTAATCTCACTTTTGGATCAGATTTTTGGAGGGAGAAAGAGGAGCAAGAAGAGAGTTCTTGGAGCAAATAAAGGGGAGCTCGAAAATGGAAGGAGGATCCATGGTTCTTCTTCATTCTAAGGCTCCCATGTGTAACTAACTCCTCCTCTAGGGAGGTAATGGAACCCCTCATTGTAAGCATGCTTTACTTTTGATTCTAGTTTGGGGAAAATAATGTATTTTTGTGGTGATTCCATAATCTAGAACTCTTACTTGATGTAATGAATTGATTTTGATTTAATGATCATGTTGGACCTACTTTCTTGTCTTAGAATGTATGTTTTCATGGTTGTATGGTTTACATTTTCATGGTGACAATGAAGATGAGATTTTTGGAATGGTTTTAATGGCATGTTGTTGAGAGATTTGATAGGCCATAGCTTAGGTTCTTCCTTTGATGGCTTATTCTTAATTCTTAGCTTCATGTGCTCTTATCATGTGATTGATGGTTTGACAATTTCTAGCTTAGTGAACATGTCTTAAATTACACTTTAGTTTAGGTAATTGAGCATGTAAAATCTTTAATAAATTGTTCTTGCCTATTGATTCCATGAATCCTTTGAAGGTAATGTAGTAACCATGAGTAACTACTTATCATAGCCACATATTTATGTTGTTTTTCCCCGAATGAATCATATTCTAGCATGTTTATATTGTAGGTGGTGAAGTTACTTCCCTAGTCTCTTTTACCCACATTTTATCTCTTTTAAATTCTTGCAAGTTCTTAATTTATGTATCTTTACATTCCTATCTTTAGTGACAAACAAACACTCTATACCCCTTCATCATCCTAAGAATGACTCTAGACACTTAGGTTGCCTTAGACTAGCGCAGTCCCAGTGGTTCGACTTACCCGACCAATAGCCCTATTTTACAATGATTCGTACTATTGCGAAGGTTGATGTTTAATTGACCAACCGATCATCCTCTTACTTCATCTAAGATTTGCCAAGACTTCATCCTCTCCTATGTCCGGAACATTAATGGCATTTTGAGGGCCTGCAACATTTATGTCTCCCTGACTACTGGAAGCTGCAACCGCTGCTGCACTTAAGTCCTACTCTATAGCCATGCCGACAACTATATCGACTTCTTCCCTTTGTTGGTCATTCATTTTAGGGTTGGTGATAGGAGTAAGGTGACCTACATCTCTCTCGAATACCTCCTCATCAAATGATTCCCCCTCACCAACTGTTTCCCTATCCTCCCTATCCTCTTCATCTTTTGGCTCAGTAGACTGTTGCTCCTCACCTCTACAATCCTTTGTTGACTTCTTCTTCATTAAAGTCTCTATTTCCTTAACCTTTCTCTTGAACGTCTTTGTATTTTCTGCATCTTTTCCTATTTCCTTTTACATATCTTTAATGCAACGCTACATACACATGTAGTAATTGATGAACACTAATTGAAATACAATTACGAGCCAGCCTATTGATACATACATCATACATCATCATCTCCAGCATTAAAATATATATTTACCTCCAATGCAGCATTGGATGAGCCTGGTTGAGATTAGGATGGACCACGTGCAGTTGGGCCAACATTGACATTGCTCAGATCTTCTGTGCCCCAAGCTATGATCAACTGTTCCAAATTCAAATTACGCACAATGTGTAACTATGGAATGATAAAATAAAGATACAGAAGCACTTAAATTTGTAATGTAGCTAACAAATACTACAATACCTGACCATTTCCAAACCCTCCATCTGTTCCTCTTATTTTAATCAATCACGTACGAGGCAATCATCCCAATAAGCTAGGTTGTTTCTATCTCCAGTAGGATATCATGGGTACTTCACTTGACATCTCATCAAATAAAGTAGCTATTTTGTATGACACAAAATGCACCAGATTAGACATGATACATATTATATACGAAACAATTTAAATTCATAACTTTTAATTTGCAAATGGAGTTAAATTAAAACTTATATGCCTGCAAGAAAAGCAAGCAACCAACATACTCTCTTTTCAGCTTCCCATCACCCAAACTACCAACCACATGATCCAACACATACATGCACCAGTTGTAAGAACTTATTACTTTGACATTGTCAACGGCCAATAATTCTTGTACATGCGCATGATAACGACCGTTTAGGGTTAGTACAGTCGCACATGTGAATAATACAAACGCCCTTTTGAAGTCATCTCCAGCTTCACATTCTACAACCCTTTTCATCAATCTACCTACAGACAAGGAGTCCTAATATCCACCCTCGTCTATCTAGTCCGCACAAAACTGACGGGATGTAGGCACTGGCACTATACCAGCAGGTAACCCCAAAATGTTATGCACTTCAAAGGCATTTATGGGAACACTTGAGGTCCAATAGAAATCCAAAACCGATATCCTCCACATCCTTCTTCTTCTCAGAGTTCAGTTTCGCAACTATTTCTATGAATTTAGGAATAAAGCTTCTGTGGAAACCGACCTTAATCTTGTATTCTGCCTTCTTCTATACCACTAAAAAAACTAATAACATTATCATTCAATTTTCAAGTGTGTGTTATATGCAATAAATACAAACAATTCGATTTAACACATTAAGTTTTTCCTTCTTTTATTTGCAACTTTATATCCGGACATTCGAAACTCCATTTCAAGTCTACATTTTTTTATCATAATATGAGGCATTCTCTTCAGTGCTTATTATTTTTCATGCATGCGTAGCTTCAGTCTCTATTTGTCTTTTTAGAGACATCTTGATTTTTTTCGTCAATCCATTCTCTTCTCGGTATTTTCTCATATATGCTGCTCTGATCAACCATAAATAAACCAAGTATAAGGATTTAAATACATATACATCACAAATTACTTTTTATGTTCTCCACTCTCAAATTCATATATCTTCCATTTACGAAAAATAAAAAATTTCATATAACTTCTCAATTTGTTCCTACTTTTTCATGAGTTTAGAAGTCTAAATCGATCACCAATTGTACATATACTAACTGTTGATAATTATACATATACTAACTGTCCTGCTAACATAACCCAACTCTGCTCCTTTATTTTTGGTTATATTTTTTAAAAATTGAAAATTATCCATATAAATCACCGGTTTTCCTTTATGTTCTCGCGTCTGAAATTAATATAACTTCCCAATTCGTTCATATATTTTAATGATTTTACAATTCCAAATTAATGATCAATGCATATAATTATTTGAAGTTGGGAATTATAAAAAACTATCTAACATAATATATTGCATTCTAATGATAATAAAAATAAAACTAAACTTCAAACCAAAATTCAATTACAAAATTAACATTAATACATACATACTTGAACAAAAGGAACACTCCAGGACGACACGTCATACTTTCTTTGCTCTTCGAGGATGTAGTAGTGTTTGCCTTGGCCTCAAATTCTTCTTCATCTTCATATTCATCTTCATCTATCTCCTCTTCAGATGGCACATAATCAGAATCACTGTCAGAGGCCATTCTAGAACTCTCACCAACTTCACGACTAAATTTCAGAATAGAAGAAGGATTAGGGATACTTTTCTTTTTTGCAACAGGTATAATTTTCTTTTTCCCTTTGTTACGAGCTAGAGTCTTCAACCTATCCATTTCAAAACCTAAATTCGATTCAACCCACCAACAAATTTAATGAACCTAACAAAGCCACAGCAATTGAACTTAGACAACCTTAATTTCAGACCAACCACGAAAACCCTCACACCCAACCCTCAGACGAAGCAGCACAGACCTTCCCTTCTCCTTCGCCTTCCCTTGTTCCCTTCTTTTTTGTCTTCCCTTATTCTTCGTTTCAGACCTCCCTTGTTCTTTGTTTCAGACCAACCTCCAAAACCCTAAAGCCTCACACTTTCTTCTTTGTCTTCCCTTGTTCCCTTATTCTTCGTCTTCCCTTGTTCTTCGTTTCAGACAAACCTCCAAAACTCTAAAATCTTAGACCTTCCCTTCTTCTTCTTCTTCTTTCGTTAAAACATTCTTCTTCCCTTCTTTCGTTAAAAATGATGTGAAGGATAAATGGACAATTGCAAACAATATTTAAGGGCAAAATGGACAATTCTAACCAATATACAATATTATTATAATATATACCGTATTTATTATATAATATTTTAATATTTTATACCCATTTAATACAACAGAAACAATGTCTAGTGAAATTTTTTGAACCAAATCTTTTCATTCCCAAATGGAGAAAATAGGGCATCGTGGGAATGAAGGTGATTTTTGGCCAAGCAGGACGGACAAAGATCATTTCTAGTTGCATAGTAGTTCATTTCCTTCAATTTTGTAAGTAAAAGTACATCCTAATATTTTTTTTACTGTGCATTCTAATATTTTTCTATTGTGCATTCTAATATATTCATATTGTGCATTTCAAACATAAATGACGTGAACCATTTCTAGACCACTCATTTTAATACATGAAAATGACACACATTTTAAGACAGAGGAAAATGACACACTATTTTATTGGCGGTAATTTTCACCCCGAGCAGGACGAACAATACTACAACAAGTGATATGATCCCAAATTCCAAGTCACAATGCTTTGAAACCCAAAACTTTACGAATCCATGCCCTAACTCTGCCCTAAAAGTGAAATCATCCTCCACTGGCGCAGAACACTGTCGTGGTGGCAATGTCGTCGAACGGCGCAGAGCTTCCCCAGGAGCTGCTAATTGACATACTCTCTCGACTGCCGGCAAAGTCTCTCTGCCGATTCAAATGCGTATCGAAGCCATGGCTTACACTAATCTCAGACCCCCATTTTGCCCAAACACACCTTAATCGAAACAAACCACAGAGAGTCATTCTCTTATCCGACTACCTTTACTCCGTCGACTGTGATGAAACCTCTGATAGCGCCTCTGTAATGGCAACGAAGCTTGATTTCCCACCGATTGATTACCCGAACGAGTTGATCGACATTTTGGGTTCTTGGAACGGTTTGATTTTAATCGCCAACGAAGAAAACGCCAAGTTTTTGTTGAATCCAACAACTAGAGAGTCCAAGAAGTTACCCAAATCCCCTTTTGCCCTTGATCCATTTTCCAGTTACACCATGTATGGACTTGGGTACGATTCGTCTACAGATGATTACAAGGTTTTAAGTGTTGCTTACAATGCTAGAGATGAGGATGACGATGATGAAGAAGAAAAAGAATGCGCTGATACATTTGTAAGTGTGTTTTCACTCAAAACCGGTGCTTGGAGGAGGATTCAAGATGTTCCCTATGATCATTCTTCTCTAGAGCCTTACTCGTTGGTTCTTGTAAATGGGTCTATACATTGGTTAACTTGTAGGTCTTCCGATTATTCTTCTGTAATTGCTGCTTTTGATGTAGCAGAGGAGAAATTCCGTGATGTGCCGGCACCTAGCTCAATTGACAACAACCGGTTGGTCTTACATGGATTGGGAGTTTTTGGAGAGTTTCTCTGTGTGCTTGTATGTTGTAATAGTAACAAAACTGATGTTTGGGCGATGAAGGAGTATGGGGTTACTGAGTCTTGGACCAAATTTACTACAATCTGTAAACCTTATATGCACATGATGGAACCCTTATGTTTTTTGGTGGATGAGGAAGTTCTATTGGAAATGGATGGAAAGAAATTGGTTGCATTCAATGCCAAAGAGAGAACATCAAGAGATATAGTGGTGCGTGGCATTCCTAGGACGTTCAGAGCAGGGAAGACCTATGTGGAGAGCCTTGTTTCACCCTGTTGCAACTCTGGGATTGAGAGAAAATTTAAAGGGAGTCGAAACTTGAAGAATTGTCAACTAAATAGGTAAATAGATGGTGGTTTCTATTCTATTGTTTTGTGTTTAGTTCTCATATCTTCATGTTGTATATGCCACCATAGTATGAAATTTTTTATCATCTACATAAATATGTATTCGGTTATTTATGCTTGAGTGACGCAGTTTTTGGCTTTAGTTGAACTATATTGTTATAGGTTTATAGTGGGGTTCAATGATGTTGAACTTAGATTTTTTCCTATTTGAGTGGTGGGGGTCCATTCAACATGGTAAGAGTGCTATTCTTCAATCCCTGTTCCAAAGAGAAAAGCAAAGTTGAAGTATTTTGGTCTTTTCAAGGTTTAATTTTGTTCCATTTCTGGATGACTTGTGTATGAAAGCCCTTCTACGTAATTCTGAACATATTGTTAACATGTAGATAAAAATTATAGCCTCGTTATTGAGTTATTGGATTAGGTCTTAGAAAATAATTGAAGATATTATCGACGCGTGCCTGGTGGTCCTATGGGAGTAGCTTCTTCAATGCTTGCTTGGGTTCAAATTAAACCATAAGAATATCTGGCTAATCTAGTGCTAGGTGACAGAACTCATTCAAGTCACAAGTTGTGGACTTGTATTTATGAGAATCATAGATCTATTAAGAATAAGAATATGCATGAGTTCTAGGAGAGAGCTAATAAAACAACATAGAAGGAGTATTATTTCGATTTTTGAATGTTAGAAATATCTAGTCATCTTTGGATATTGTTATAGTCATTAACATGATGAGCTACATAACCTTTGGTATCATATTTCTTATTTTCCTTTGTTTTATTTCCTTACGTAATCTATATGACTACAACTAAGGTTGTTTTTCATCTGAGTAATGTGTTTGTGTGCCAGAGTGTGAGCAATGATAGCTTCTTCTTTTCTTCTTCTTTTTTATTTTTTTATTTTTTATTTTTATATATATATATATATATATATATATATATATATATATTTTTAATCTAATACATGAACTGCATAACTATTTTTTTTATTTATTATTTTATTTTTATTATTAGATATTTTTTTACAACTAAGATTTCATTAAAAGGCATTAAGGCTAATACAGGTTTATCAATGACAAATTTCCTTCACTCTTCAACACTGACTCTGAAGTAAATATGGTTCTTCCTTGTATGACAACGCGATATTCTGTTCTAATTTTGTTTCAACCTCCATTTCTGAGACAATATTCCACTTAGGACCAATAGCATTCCCCTCTCAAGGAATTGTTTGCACCTTGGCAATTCTTAGCATTGCTTTTATCATAACCATCATCGCTTTCTTATAGACATGGAATGTAGACATATCAATTTAAAATTTCGTTACAACTACACTATAAGATGGCCAATAACTTTTTTTTTAGTAGCTTCTTTTCTTTTCTAATAAATATTGAATTTAGGCAGTGCAACATTAACATTTCTTTGCAACTACACCATTATTAGTCTTGTTTAGACAATTTGTGGCCATATTGTAGAATTTCTAGAATCTGCATGACAATATATTTATTATCTATTTATTATCTACTCTTGATGGTATAATTTCTAGAATCTGCGTGACAATATATTTGTTATCTATTCCTTGACAGCATAATTTCTAGTATAAAATTTAACTATAAAATTATAGAGTTATAGTGGGATTCATTGCTGTTGAGCTTTCCTTTTGGATAAGTATTGTCGTTGAACTTTGATTGTTGCTATATTAGTGGGGGTCCACTGAACATGGTAGGTGAGCTATTATTTCATGCTTGTACCATCGAGTGAAGCATAGTTCAATTGACACAGTATTTTTAGGTTTAATTGTGGCTGTGCCTCTTTCATTGTGTAAGAAACCCTTTCTAGGTAATTTGGAAGAAATAGTTATTACTTATTACACTTGCTTAAGTCTTGAACTCTGATATTCAATGAGGTTGAGCTCCTTGATTGTGAGATGAGCACAATGAATTTTTCTATGTACCTGAGATTATATAGACAAAATTATTAGCCTCATTGTTTGAATTATCAGATTTGGTTTTTAACAAAATTGAAACTATTATTTATGCATTACACATTTAATCACATTCTATTATAACCCCATGGTGAACGAGGCGTTAAGGCTCATTCTCAAAATGACCATCTGAATAAAAAGAATTGAGAGCTCCAATCACCTCTGTCTTCACCAACTCCCAATTTTGTTGGACAAAAGCCCAAGCGAACCCATCCGGTCCTGGAGCTTTGTTGCCATTGCAACTCCTCAAAGCCTCCAACACCTCTTCCTTGAATCCTCCCCAAATGGCCTCTCAAGCCAATCTCTATCACCCCTTAGATTCCTGCAAACTCAAGCCCATCAAGTAAAGGTATCCAGTTAGCAGTCTGATAAAAGGACACAAACCCAGCCTGAATCTTCTAATAAGAAAATAAATAAATAAATATACAGCCTGAACATCCTCTTCCCCGATCACCATATTCCCATCAATATGAATCCTTTCAATATGATTTCCTCTTCTATGGATGTTTGGTAAGCGATGGAAGAATCTCGTATTCCGATCTTCTTCCTTCAACCAAAGCGCTCTAGATTTCTGCCACCACGAGATCTCCACCATCACCACAATCTTTCCAAACTCAGTCTTGCACTCCTCCCTTCTAGTTGCCTCCATGTCGCTAAGGCCCCTCTCCCCCTCCTTCCTATCCAGCTCAGAGATTTCAAGGAGGATTCTGTTGTTGCACCATTCCAGATTGCCAAGCACTTCTTAATGTCTCCCTTCAGCAACCTAATTTTGGTAGCTAGAATAGAACTCAGGCTGCCTCTAACCTTACAGCTAGTCCACCAGGTTCGAACCCTCTCTTTGAAGTCCTCTACTCAAAGCCACATATTCTCAATCCGGAACAAGGTTCTCCCCCTCCCAACCCATCGCAATCAAGGAGAATTGGAATATGATCCAAAATCGCTCGAGCCAAAGCTACCTGAGATACATTAGGGAACTTCTGCTCCAAGCCCCCAGAAACAAATAATCTATCCAAGTGAGACGGCGTAGGGGATTCCCGACCACTGGACCATGTGAACTGGCCTCCTTCCATCGGAAGATCAAGAAGATGATGAGAGTCAATGAAATCCGAGAACCCTGTCATGGCCGGAGTCCAACTTCATCTTGTGGATCTTTCACTAGGCATCGTAACAACATTAAAGTCCCCTCCCACACACCATGGAGCTTTCCATCTCCTCCTAGCGATCAACAACTCCTCCCACAACCCCCTCCTTTCCACATCCCCAACTGGGCCATAAACTCCTGAAAACATCCATTGCGAACCATCTTCCTCCAAAGTGAACAAGAGAGAGATAGGTGACATCCCCTTCCACATGTCAAATTTCGAGACCCCTCCTTTTATCCCAAAGAACCACAATCCCTACCGAAGTCGCCTCCGCATCAACCACCTCCCATTCCCCAAACCTGCCTTCCCATAGACTTCTTAGCACTATCAGTAGAAAAGCCAACTTAGATTCTTTCAAGCACACCACATGCGCCTCCCATTTATTCATCAAAACCTTCACCGCCTTCCTTTTGTTTGGGTCGTTCAAGCCCCGAACGTTCCAAGACTTGGTTTTGAGCTTCATAAGCACACGATGTCTTCCCCTCTCTCCTCCCAACCTTTCTCTTCTCACTTCCTCCTCGTCTTCTCCCCTCATAGTTCACATAGGAAATGAGATTTTTAAGCTCCCTTTCCCTGATTCCAGCAAGGGCTTTTCGTTTGCTTCACCAGGGCCCACTCATCATCTACCACTTGGAACATCTCATGGACATACTTGTCATCTCCTGCACATGTCAGTCCTAAACATATGGCAGAAAACATCCATTCTCCAGTCATCAGAAGAACCATGACCATCTCAAGATAAATGTGGAATTTAGTTTGCTCAGGTGCATCTTGATACCTGGGACAACATCATTTATTGGGTTTATAGGTAAACACCTGACCAAGGATCGTGAGGAAGCCCTATAAAGAAAGACTCTCATTTTGTTTTCATCAGTATATTATATTTATCATGAGAAATAAAAGGCAGTTTCAATGGATATATGGATGTTAGTACTGTTAATGCCAAGATTTTTTATCTGTCGGATTTCAAGCTTCTTCTCTTCGAAGATTTCTTGTTTTTTTCTGCTAATAAGTGTCTTCAAGGAGATTTATCCAAATAAATAAATAAATAAGTGTCTTCAAGGAGTTTGGAATCTTCTAGAATCCATATTGAGTTGATTATCTTGTCAGCTGAATTTATTATATCTCTGCTTTAGACGGACGATGTTTTTTTCCTGGTAGTCATTCTTCTAGATGGATGATGTTGTTTCCTGGGAGTCATTTTTCTGACTTGGTTCATTCTGCTATTTTCTGTCTTTTTTGCTACTAAGCTCAAGTCATTGATTTCTTGATATGCTGCTGAATTGGGTTTCAGAATGCCTCGTGATTTGTTGGCTGATATTTGAATTCTTTATGCTCTTTGTTATCCTGCTATGTTTTCTGCTGACTTTTTACTTTGCAATTACTATTTTCAGTTTGTTGCTTTGTTACTTTAGTTAGCTTATGCTTTATTTTTGTTTCTACCATTGCTCTTGTTAGCCTTTTGTTTGGTTTGTTTTCTGTATGGCTAGCTCAGCCTTGTTCTTGTAATTTTCTCATCTTAATAGAGCTTATTTACCACATAAAATATTTCTAAATTTAATAATTACCTTGTGCATTCCGCTAACAATTGGTATAGAAATTTCACTAGGATTCATATCCTTGCTTATAATTTATGGTGCAGGTTGTTTGAGTTTTGCAGCTGATATTGCTTTAAAGAGTAGAACATTGACCTACTCATACCGCGTTAGGTTCTCAGTAGAAAATTTATGAGAGAGTAGTCATATAACTAGGTTCAGCCATGAGACCTCATACTATAAATGAAACCTCCCAGGGAATTTCGTAAGTTGATTAAGCTCTTATTCTAGGGCTATCTGCTCGTTGATGAAGCCATTAGTTGGACTCTTCAGAGTTATTTTGGTTGCATCTTTGGAAACCATTGTCCATTTGAAAACATCAACAACAAAAGGTGAATTTTGGGAACTTGGTGGTTAATTGTTCTTAGATTCCTTTTTGGAACAAGTGCAAGAAGTTCTGAAATGATATGTTTATCAAATTTCCTGAGAACTACAGGAACATAAGAGCTAAGGGATGCACCTAAATGGCATTATGCATTAAACATATAAGCAGTATACTCTTTTTATATTTGTTAATATTCGAGCTAGCGTTTTAACTTCATTTCTGTGACCATTCTCTTCTATTGTGGAACTATGAGTTCAAGAGCCGGGCTCCGGGCTTGTGACCAAGTGGGGGCATTAAGGCGCTGGAAAGTTTGATAGCCAGGCCAGCGTGTAATTGGGAGTTTTTTTATTTTATTTTATTTTATTTTATTTTTTTGTAAAAAAAAAATAATAATAATAAAAAAAAAATAAAAAATTACGAGTGCAAGAGGGAGCAACAAGGAAATTATGATAGACAATGTCTCTAGTGACGAGTGTCCTTCCATATCCTAAGATTCCTCTTTTAACGGACTTGCTCCTCCTTTCTTCGTTGTTTGAACTGGCAGAACTGTCCAAAGAACTAAGAAACTGTATAATCTCTTTTCAGAGGTTTGAATTCAAGTGCGGACTATGTGGATATATTTTCTATGTTTGTTCCTCCTTGTTATCTTTCACTTGTCCATTTTTAGATGAACTGGAGTATCTGTATGATATTTATGTGATTTTATGAGAATTCATATGTGGGTTTGCATAGGTTTCTTTTGCTCTATGTTTCCTTTGCAAATTGTTTCTTTGATTATCCTTTGATCAAACAATCTTTTGGTTAGGGTTTTTGAATCAATGACTGAACTCTGTAGAACCAGGACAGAACAATTAGTGGCAGAAGCAAAAAGAAATGATTTGGCTTCAAGTTCGAGCTCAAGGAGCATTGAGGCTTCCAATTTTATCACCGACCATTTCTCCCAATCAGATTTCTTGGATTTCCTCAAGTCCACTGGGATTCTAGAAAGACCAATTTACGAGAAGGCCTTAAAGATGTTCCAGGATCCATACTGGAGGGAGAAATTCATCAGTATGCTTGACGAAGGTAAAAGGTTTTAGTTGCGGAACCTTAAGTGATAGCTTTGGTTTTACCATGTAGAAGTTTTGTCATGGTCAGTTAGTGAGAATAGCTGCTTTGTTTGATGATGACATGATTTCGTATTGCTTTTCATGTTATGTTTAGTAATAGTTGGACTGAATTGTAACTGTTTCCCATTCGAATCCTTTTTTAATATATAAAAGGAATATATTTTGGTCGTTGTTTATTTGCTTCTCTATTACAGTTGCTTGTTTCTGGTTGTGCTTCTTTCTAATTGTTATTAAATATTATTTTTAGTATGTGAATGCTTTGTGAGGTTGATATTTGTTATTAAGTATGTGTCGTGTTATTTTGTAACGTCTAATGACTTCCTGTAAGCAGCTAGCAAATGCCTTATTTGGTGCCTGATGCTGCATATTTTTATTTTTTATTTTTTTAATAGGTTATGATGTTAGTAGGTTGGAAACACTTCATTTAGGGGTGTCGTGGAGGTGTAGGACACGTGTTGGACTCACAAAGTGTCATAAAATTTTAATATTTTATTTTATTCTTGGACACGACTAGGATGACTAAGATACGACAAGGATACTCTCAAGATAGTGATTTTGTAATTATTATTATTTTGTAGAAAAAGGGATTCTATGCAATTTAAAATATATTATAGGTTAAGTAGAAAATAATATAAAATTTAAAAACAAAAATAACAAATAAATACCTTTAAGCTCCAAATTAGAATTTCATAGATAAATTGAGTAAAAATAAACATTATATGTATAATATATTATCATTTTTGATGTATCTATGTTGTATTCATGTTCGTTTTGTTTTCAGAGTTGCTGTATCGCTGTGTCTGTATTATGTCGTACCTGTTTCTGTATCCGAGCTTCCTAGGTTGGAATTAGTCCAAGGAGACAAATATGCGATCCTAACTTCTTCATCCACACCCATTTACAATATAGTTGCATGAAACTCCCTTCTCATTGCCATTTGCAAGTTGCAACACCTAAAATACATGTTGATCATGTCATTGCCATTTGAAATCCTGTATACCACTTCATTTTTCAGAATTTGAACTTTGCACTTTCCCCAGATGTAGGAGCATGAGTTGAACGCTTAGCAGAACCAGGAAGTTTCCCATTATTTTACTCGATTTCATGATTAGAAGGAATCAATTCACCTTCCTCAACAGCAAACTCCAATGCATCAAAATTGTGGAGAAGATAAGTTGGTTTGGGGGTTTGGGGCTCAAACCCTAACGATAAATTCTCTGTCAAAACTGCCTATGAGATTGTAATTCAAGATCTTTCAAAGACTTCAGAGCAGTTGTCCCAGCCAGGAAACCGTATGCATCAAGAATTCTGGGAATTTGAAAAATGTGGAGGAGATTGTTTGTAAGTCCTGTGGCTTAAATGATTTCTTCATCTATTTTGTTTTTGCTCTTTGTCCAGCATGGTTCGGACCATTTAGATTGGATCTGAGTTCTTGTAATTGGAAGTCATGGCAGGATTTTTTGTTATTGTTAACTCCCCTTTTCCAACACATTCAGTTCTGAAACTGCTGAAGCTTTGAACCTTAGAGAGGGTATTAGCTTACTTATCCACTAGGGTTACCTGAAAGTGATTACTGAAAGGGATTGTCTTGCGGTTATGATTCGTATACTGGTTAATTACACTCACACCCTTTGATGTTTGGTTTATTGACCGTGAAATAAAAGTTAGCTATTTTTTGGACAATTTCACCCCATCAAAAATTTGATACAAGCAAGCCCTCAAAAAGTGAGAAAAGATGATATTGCCCTTCAATTTTAGCTGTAAAAAATATCATACATTTTAAAAGACCAAAACATCCTTGAGAAGCCAAACTCTTTGTGTGTGCACACACACACACACAAGGAACTAGGGTCAGCCCCACTCTTACTCACGGGAAACGAACAAAGAACCAAGAATAATTCGAAGACTGTAAATGGGTTTGTATGTATGTATTATAAGGAAACTTAAAAAGTCATGGTCTATTTAAACTTAAAGCGATGGTCTGTTTAAAATCTTTTTAACATTTATAATTGATCAAGGAATCATGATATAGTGATATTTTTTTTACCTTTCAAAGTGGATGATGATAATTTCAAAATTTCAAAAGAGAAAATTAGGTGTGACTGAGGTGTGTTTCTCGCCACTAAAAAAGCATCTATAATTGCATTGACTAGGTTCAATATTACTGGTAAATGGAGAGAAATTTTTGAAATTTGAGCTGATGGAGAAACTTGTAAATTCAAAGACACCCGTCATTGTAAACTAAACCAAGTTGGATTAGGAGGAAGAGTCGGCAATTGAGGTCGGAAGACCTATCATTTCATTTGTTGAACTTTAACTGAAGAATTTTAGTATACTTATGAAAACAGTATAACGTGGATTCCTCAAGCAAAACAGGCAGTACATGTAACTCCACGATTACAATTAATCCAACTGGAACTTTATTTGGCAACTGATCATGACTTGGAAATTTTGGCAGGAAGGAAAAGCAATAAAATTCAGACATATATGTTTAGTAAGCATCAGGATTTGCCAAGAGGTAGGCCTCAACAGCCTTGAACATTGCAGACGCCTTTTCTTTGCCACTCTTGATTTGGTCTTCTGTAATTTGGGCATCTCCTATGGTGTGATATTTACTGTTGTTCTTGCAGATGGATCCTCCATCAGAGGAAGCTTCGATTTTGATCTCGTAACAGATTTTCTCAAGTACGCCCATCAAAGCATCACCTTCGATTATGCTGTAACTATACACAAACTTCTCTTTGTCAATCCCATCAACTTGATGCTTCACGCTCTTCATTTGGCTGCCTGCACATCAACAAAACATATTTCCATTTAGCTTGTTAGATAATTTTATAACAGACTTGTATTTAGGTAATACATAGAGATGTTCCAAGAAATAACTTACGTTACATTTGGAGCACTGAACAACGCTTTAGATTATTCTAAACATAACTTAGTGTTGATAAAAGAAACTTGCCTTCGCCAAAAGTGATCAACTTGACTGTTCCAGCTCCTCCATCCCCTTGGATGATTTCAACACTCTTAATAGCTTGCGGCAAGATCTTGGGGATGAGGGTGTCGGCATCAAGGACGAAGGCCTTGAACATCTTGGCCGGGGGGATTGAGGAGGTAATCTCCATATCATAACTGATCACACCCATGATCGATAGTGAAATTGGTCTTAAGAGATTGAAAAGATGCAAGGAAAAAGGAGAAGAAGAGTACCAAGTATCAATTGGCTGGTGAAGAGGTTTTGGTGTGTGGAAAATGGAAGAACTGAAGGTGGTATTTATAGAGTTAGTTGAAGGTTCCCCTTTGTGTAAGTTAAAATGGAAAATATCCACTTGACTGCAAATGGGGTCCTAATATTCCTTATTAAATTATAATATCTAATCATGCTACATTTTTTAAAACAACAACAACATGTTGGATATTAATAAATAATGAATCCTTGAATTTTCAAATCTGGCTGCTAAGAATTCTATGCACATGGCTACCATATAAATAATTGGAACCCCATAATTATGGGGTCCCTCTCCACAGCTTTGACAATGAAATGGTTGAGAAGATTCGAATTTTTACCTGCAAAATAAAATTCTATGATATTCACCAATTCGCCAATAATAATTATTGATGTCTTTGTCAAATTTAACATACGATCTAAATTTTATATGGCTGCAAATATAAGTAAATTAGGGAAGTGTCACTATAATTTACCCTTGAAACAAACCGACACTCTCACACCTGGAGGCTCTCATTACCATCCCACTTCCATTATTATGCTACAACAGATTTGACGTTGTTTGTTCTTTTAGACGAGGCTCATTTTGTTAAATTGTTGTTATATATTTACTTTTCCTGTATTTCATCAAATTTGACCACCGACCCAGTGTATTTTTTATTCCCACCGACCCACTGGTTGGCTTACTTGGAGTTGGAAACTATAGACTAGTTCAACCCAATAAAAAAGTAGTGGCGCCTGAGAGAACTTTTCGTGTAGCACTAGTTTTGACTTTTAATATTCAATTAAATGGACTTACAATTCTAAGAGAAAATATTATTCGAGATGAAGTGGATTTTTATTTTTTTTTATTTTTTATTTTTTGACAACAACTAGATAATTAACATAGAAAAGGAGAGAAGATACATTCACGGAAAATAACATTTAACAATTACGGGGGCCATATGCTCCACTCCAAATTCCCACAATCGGCTTCAAGAGCCTTTTTGCTCATTAAATGAGATACAACATTACCTTTTCTAGGAGTCCAAGCAAGGGAGGAGTTTGGACAAACTGAAATAAGAAAAGAAATGTCCTTCAGGACCACTCAAAGAGACACCATTGAAGGTTGAAGACGTTGCACCGAGTGGCAGTCTCCTTCAACCACAACAAACTCATAACCCCAATCCTTCAACAAAAGAAGAGAAGCTCTCAACACCAAACTATCCGCTAAGGATGGGCTGCTAACATTATGTAAGACCACTGATGCAATCTTAATTGGTTGACCCAAATGATTTCTCAAGATAATACCGCCACCACAAGACTTGGAAATAGAATTGAAAGCCGCATCAAAGTTGAGCTTGAGAAATCCCTCAACAGGAGCAATCCATTTTGAAATAATAACATGGGAAGGAGGAGAAGGAAAATAAAGGAGAAGATGCTGGCGAGAGACTTCCGAAAATTCATTGAAATCGCTAAAAGCCCTCTAAGCCACTTCAAAAGGATCGCTACTAGACCTGTAAAAAGTCAGGTTGTTTCGGCTTTTCCAGATAGACCAACAGATGAAAGCCGCCAATCCACTACAGTCAGCGGACTGCGCTGTGGAACTCCATCTGTTGCACATCTCAACCCAACGCTTTTGCCAAGTGGTAGGAAACGCGCCGCTGAAATCCAAACGAAGAGGACTCAATTTCAAAACCTTACAAGCAAATGGACAAGTGCAAAGAAGATGATCCACGATTTCATCAAAATGCCCACAATAAGCACAACCAGAAAATTGAGACACCCCACGCTTAAAAAGCTGATTGTTCACCGGAATCCGTTCATGAAGGCTCAACCAAATAAAGATCTGAATTTTCTTATAAGCCCGAAGATGCCACACCCCTTCCACATATCGCCACTAGATGAATCAAAACTACAAACTTCCATAGGAAGAGATTGAGGAGGAGGATGGAGAATGGAAAAAGCCACCTTATAAGCACTCTTGACAAAGAAACCACCATCAATAGTGCTGCTCTAAATCTTAGTATCCATACCACCCCGAAAGCTCAACGGAATCTGAAAGATAGACTTGCAATCCCGCTCATTAAAATGTTGACGAACCAAATGAGTATTCCAACAGTGAAAAGAAGGAATAATAAGATTCGATACTAAGGAAAAATGAGCGGGTTTGGCTTTAATGACACTTTGAAATCAAGAGAATCCAGAATCCAATTATCAGACTGTTGGGAAACGTGCAAGTTTTAAAAACTTTTCGAGGGATTTTGATTCATAGATCTTGATTCATCACATAGAGACAAGTTTTATGCAAAAATAAAAATATGATGTATCATTCAATTAATGGATTGAATACTTACATCAAAGGTCTGAGTAAACCTTTAAAATTTTCCTCTAAAGTGAATGTTCTCACTTATTGTAGATCCCTTAGCAAGATGCCTTCTCCTTAGATCTCCATCTTCTTGGTAATTATTTTGCCTTTAGGAATCACTCATAAGCCTCCATGAATTACCTCGGAAAACTAGGCTTGTGGGAGCCTCAATTAGATGAGAAAATAAACCCTAATTTTCTAGAGAGAAAAAAAATATTCCTTTTTCCTTCTCATAAAAATCACACCCTAAAATATACATAGACCATGTATATTTATAGGCAACATAAAAATAAAGAAAAGGAAACAACAAATCCTTCTCCATCTCTAATTCATATGTCTCAAATCTAATATGATTCTAATATCAAGTTGGGCTATGAGTGAGAATCCATTGGGCCTATTATTTTATTGGTTATAATGAATTAATAATTGGCCCGGTCCATGGACCCAATTCAATTAATTCATAAATTAATTTCTACTCCGCTAAAAGAAATTAATTGAACTCCAATTAAATAATAAATAACCTCTAAGTCAATATTGCACTTTGACCCCTCTATGCATAATTAGTTATTGGATAAATAAAGCCATCAATCCGACTACTTAATTAATATATCTATTTTGGTACCTTTGATTATTTCTGGCTCGATCACAATAAAACATTTGTTTGACAAAAATAATAATTTAAATAAATAAATACATAATAAATCATTTTGTCTAAAAATACACGAAGGCCTTCGAATTTACTTTGTGATCAACCATAATCAATACAAAATAAATACAAGTAGCAATGATGCAAATATTGAAAATATAACCCTCTAACTATTAATTACATAACTACCCAAAGTGTCTGTCTAAGGATCCCGAAGAATCCGCCGAACAAATCAAAGTAATTATTAATTAATAAAAGAGTCTATAATTTTCTCATACTTAAGAGTCAAATGCCATGACGGTGATAGGGAGCAATTGCATACGATGGCTCTCGCAATATATCTCAACCTAACGCGGATCCAGTTCAAATCTTAATTAATTATGAGTCCATCCATAATTACCGACTATGAACCATTTATGATTACTATTTATATATCATGCATTGATTGCCATCACAAACATATATATAAATATCTCTTGTAATCAAATGGACACTATCAATTCTATAATGAATCGAAATATAATACATTGAATTCACCAATTGTATAAAACATAAATATTTCATAAACGTCAGGAACATATGTCACTTTAATCCAAACAGGAATTTGCTATGCCAGAGCATATAAATCCCAACAGCTCCCACTTGCCCTCATAGCCAATTCAAATTGCACATAACTCCAATGTTATCCAGATGATGATCAAAATTATTGATCAATAATACCTTTGATAATGGATCAACAAAGTTGTGTTCCAATACAATGTTCTAGCCACAAGTACATTTTCCTCATAGCTAATTCAAATTGCATCTAACTCGAATGTTATCCAGGTGTTGATCAAAACTATTGATCGACGACACCTTTATCAATGGATCAACAAAGTTGTGTTCCAATGCAACGTTCTAGCCACAAGTACATTTTCTTGCCGGACAATATCATGTAGAACATGATACTTCCTATCAGTGTATTTTGTTCATCTATGGAACCTTGGGTCATTGGTTTGGACTACTTCTGCACTATTGTCGCAATATAGCTCGATAGGAAGGCTAGTATGCTCCACAACCTCTAAATCAGTGAGATCAAACCAATAGGCTTCTTTTGCCGCCTTTAAGGCTGCAATATATTCCACCTGCAGGTTTGAGTCAGCAGTTGAAATCTGCTTAATAATCTACCAACTGATTTCCTTTCCATTAAGTGAACATACACTAAGTCATGAACCTCATAGTATCTACTTCTGATTGAAAATCAGAACTAGCATACCTGACTAGGATCATATCATCACATCCATAAATGAGTATGATATCATTGATTCTCCTTAGGTACTTAATGATATTTTTCACAACAGACTAGTTGTCAAGTCCAGTATTGGACTGATCTTTACTGACTATCCCTACAATGTAGCGGATGTCCTGTTTGGTATAGACCATGGCATATATGAGACTCTCATATGCCGAAGCATATTGTTCCAGTCTCATTTGCTCAATCTCCTTTGATAGTCTTGAAAAACTACTTACTAGAGAGAGCAATCCATATCAATAAAGCAAGAACTCATTCTTTGAGTTATGCATACCAAACCTGGTCAAAACTTTATCAATGTAGGATTATTAAGATAAGCCTATTTTCCTTTTAACCTGATCTTGCAAAAGCTTGATCCTAGGAATATAGCTTACATCTTGAAAATCCTTCATTTAAAAGTAATTGAACAACTACCTTTTTATTGATGACAAAACTTCCACGTCATTATAAATGAGTAGGATGTCATCAATAAATAGAATTAAGAAAAATAATGACATTCCCTTGTACACTCATGATTTATTCACTAAGAAATCTTCTGGTATCTTTTTGTAGATTAACTTGCCTTCCATAGGTATCACCCTACTAGAAAGTTCTACAAGATCCCAGAATTTATTAGAATACATAGATTCCAACTCTGATTTCATAGTAACTCGCCAAAACGATCTGTATCCATATCGGTTCACGCTTCCGTGTAGCTTACTGGGTCCAACTCATGTTTAACAGGGATGTCCATAATGGTCTCACCTAA